TGGAGGCCTCATGATGTACTGCCATCAGACTCCACAACACCTCAAGCTCCCAGTTCCTCAAACCCCCGCAGAGCAAATACTGGTTAAAACTCCTACCTACAACCCACAAACCTTTTGCATTTATTTATATTTAATTTCCACTTAGTAGTTTAGTTTTAGTTTTTAATCAGTTTAATTTTCTGCTCAATATTTTGGACTCCGTGTCCCGAACTTGAAGCCAAAAAAATAATGTATAACTTTATTTATAGTTTTTATATCTTCTAATATTATAATATTACAATATTTTTACTGTGATAATTCTTTTGTTTCTGTTTTCTGAGCCTGCTTTGCCAAAATGGAATTTCTCCTTAGGGGATAAATAAAGGAACATCTTATCTTACTGAAACAATTAGTAAATAAATGGTTATTCTATTGATCACAACTTTTTGGCAACACAGGTGATGGATGAAAACATCAAATGCATGGTCTGCTCCTCTGCACATCAGCTTCTCCTTACATGTAATCACTGTTTAGGGCCACAGCAGTTACTGCCTTGAACCTGAGCCTCCTTCTTCACACAGTGGGCCCTCACCACGTCCACATCCCGGTTGCAGGTGGTTCAAGTTAAGCCGGGGACAATAGTGGGGCGGCGTAGAAACGATCAGAAAGTAAGTCCCTCGGAGGTGGCTCTCGTTGTGTTTTGGTCATCTTGTAAGGGCCAGCAGTTTCTCCTTCCCAGGTTCTCCAGGCCCTCACCACGGCCCGCTCCATCAGAGTCTCCACGTCGCCGCAGGTGGCCGCTGTCTCCGGCGCTGCATCGCCTTCAGGATCAGCGGCCAGCTCGTAGCGAGGCATGGCGACGGCGAACGGATCCACAAGACTCACGCTTTAAACGCATTTGAGGCTCGGGGCTGGGTCAGTACAACCTGGGTTAAAGCTGCAGTGGGTCACTTTTATGAAAATAACTTTTTGTCATTGTTTCACTATATCCTGACAGTAGAACATGAGAGAGATCATCTGTGGGGGAATGAAGCATTGTTCACTGGCTCTTAGTGCTCCTAATGGTATTTGCATGAAACATTCAGGCCTGAATGAAACAACCAATCGGAGCCCAGAACGATTTAAAGACGCTTTAATTTGGAGGCTTGAAAATAGTCGATTGTTGAGTCTGTCTCATTCCCAGGGTCCCGAATTTGAAGCCTTGGGAATGAGACTCAGCTGTCGGCTATCTTTCTTGGCTCTGATTGGTTGTTTCCGTTCAGGCTTGGTGGTTCAGGAGCACAAGGATGAGCCAGAGAAACCACATTTTAACAGATAAATCCTGTCTCGTGTATTATTGTCAGGTATAATTAACATTTAACAAATATGACAAATAAATATTTTCATAAAGAAGCGTTACCTACTGGCATCTTTTTTAATAAGGGGCAATGTACAGCAACTGTCTAATATCCTATGTACATTTATTTTATTTATTTTCTTGGCAGCTCTGTGGATCCATTGGGGATGATATTAGGCAGCAGGGCTGTCCATAAAGGCTGCCCCTCATTTAAGAAGATATTTATAGACAGCTAAAGAATTTTATTGACTAGATTTAATCTAAAGATCTGTAAAATTTTCAATTTCCAAGTAATGACACTTATCCAAAACTACTAAAGCAATACCCAGGTTGTGAAACGTAAAGTGACCTTTAGAATAGCTGTGAGAAGCTATACTAAGACTATAATGTGCAACAATATTTGTATTGGTTGACATAGGTGGGCAGCTATCAGATACTAATGGGTGCATTGTTTTTATTGATTTATAAACACTGCCTCATACTGTGGCGTTCTTTCTTCTATGTGATGAAGAACATACATAATGTTATAATTCCGAAACAGCGATAAAAACACTGCAGATTCTGACACAATCTTATTACAGCACTTCTTATGCTGGAAAGGGAACAGACTTGGGGATGCAGAGGCAGAGAGAGCCATCTGGCCAAAGACACAATCCACCACAGGATCACAGCGGTGGACTCATTCATCTCTGATAGAGAGGCAACAAAAATGGAAGTCCAAGAGCTGACATGTCAAATATGTTGGCTATTACATCTTAGCTGCACCCACCAGTGCCAGAGATATTATTAATTTTTTGGTTAATATGTCTGATCATGTGGGAAATGTAGTAAAGCCAGACAATATGTTTGCATGGCAGATAATACCGGTGTATCGATATATAGGCCAGCTAACAAGAAGTTGCAGTACAGATGTTGCTATTACATAGTTTGTCCACCAGAGAGCACTGTTTATTACTTTCTGTGCTCGGTATATATATATTTGTCACTAATTTTTAAGAAACAACTGTAGTGTTAATCAGAATCAGAAATACTTTATTGATCCCTGGGGGGAAACGTTTGTGTTACAGTTGTTCTACTCACACAATGTTAAAGAATAGAAATAATACTTGAATTACAATATCTAACAATGTATAGAATATAAATGTATGTATATGTAGATAGCTAATGGTATGTGTTTATGATTTTAAAAAAAAGAAAGAAAACCCAGCTGATTAAATGTGATCATGCAGTCAGTGTCCTTTACCTTCTGTTTATGAGGCTACGCTGTGCTGACTGTGCTGTAATTTAACCCTATGTAATGGTTGTTCCCTTTTGTTTTACAGGTTTTCACAGCTCATATCCAGAAGATGTACAGTGTGAAGCTTCCCTCTTTGACCTTTTCCATAGTTGTTGGCCTACATTTGGATGTTATGTCATAATAAACTACTTTTTTCTATCTTAGTTGCGAGTTTTTCTTGACATTTTAGACATGTGCTCCACATAATGTGATGGCAGTTTCAGTTCTTATTTCCTTTGCAGACGTAGATGTGGTTTATGCAAGTTTGAATTTTTAGGTAGCGATCCAGAGAGAACACTTAATAAACAATTATAACACTTCCACTGAGCTTTTAAACTTGGTTGAGTTGTCCTCATTGGAGCAAAATGAACAAACCTGCAGGATTTTATGAGATCAAGCTCAGTTGCTGATGTTTTTCAGGAACTTTTACAGGCTTGTTGATCTTTTTTAGTTGGACTGAATGGCATTTATGTTATGTAAGTCCACCTTTGCTTGGCCATGCTTAATCCAAACATACTGTAATCACATCATACGTTTATGGACTAGGGATCAGAGAGGGTATACAGCCACCACTGGAACTACTCCTGAGCAAAGTAAAATCTTAGGGTTTAGTGTAGAAACAAAGCTGTAGAAAAATTAACCCACAGATTCCCTAAATACATCACAAACCACTGCACAACTATTAAAGGTCTCTCTTCACAAGCATGCAGTGGTGGAAAGTAACTAAGTACATTTACACAAGTACTGTACTTAAGTAGAAATTCAAGGTACTCTAAGTATTTTTCCATTTTATGCATCTTTATACTTCTAAGTTACACCATTACAGGCAAATATTGCACTTCCATTAAATCTGTCCGACAGCTTTATTTACAATAAAGTCCTCTTTCTTCTTAAACTTAATAAACTATTTAAAAACAATCTTGGATCAGCTGTATTGTCACAAAGCTGCAAACAGGGCTGTTTTTTTATGAGCTCATGAGAAGCTGACTTTTTCTGGGTCTCACAGGACAGGACAGGACAGGACATCATAACATGATGATATTTTATAGAATATGATGCATTGCTGTAGATTAAACAGTATATAAAGTAGTTAAAACCTTTTTAAAAAATCTACAGCAAAAATATAAAATAATGAGTACATTATATTGATAATAGTTACATACTTTTACTTTTTAAGTTTTTAAATGCAGGACTTGAAGAAGAGTATGTTCACAATTGGGTATTAATACTTTTACTTAAGTAAAGGATCAAGGTGGTTGAACACAGGACTACTTTAAGTTTAAAGTAGACTCATTCCACCGAGATGCCTGTGGCCATCAAACTCACCAACTCCTCCCTCAGAGTCTTTTTTCATTAGAGTTAATAGAGTTTTTCATTAAATTGTCCCTTTAAAAGGTGCAATTCTCTGATTAATGTGAAACACTCTGGTGTACTCTGTCCTTAATACTGCATTCATACCATATTCTGTTCTTTAGCACACCTATTCAGGATCCAGTTCTCACTATTAGTACTCATTATTAGTATTTAATAAATACACTTACACTTAGTCAAGTCAACTTTATTGTCAAGTATGCTATACATGCACGTCATACAGCATAGATGAAATTTC